GTGCATTTGAAGTAGGCTCCAGGGCTTGAGCTTTCCAGATGGATGTCCAAAGCTGTATAAAGGCAATACTGAGCTTTGAATTCCTCTTTTGTAATGTAATGGTCCCATAGAATCAGTGGGGAAAATAATTTGACACAATTTTACAACATCATACCACATACTGGGCTTTAAATACATTGCAGCAGGATTAATGTGGGTTTTGATTGATTTTAATACATCTAATGCTGTGTTCCTGTTCATCTACAAAATGTTTTAGCATGTGTTTTCTATTTTTCTGCCATGTTGAAAGAAAGGGCGTTCTTTAATAATGTGTGGTTTAATCATTGATATTTTTTTATAAGCTAACTGAGGTTTTCTGAACATACACAAAAGAGGTCAATACGACAGGACATGGTCAGAAGCTTTGGAATGACAAAGTCATGTTTTTTTGCTCCATCTAATAAAGCAGTTACCAACAAAAACGCAGAAATATCTTGCTCAGACAAATTAATGATGTCTAAGCTAGAAGTTCACTTTCCAAATATTTCTGCATGACAATGGTTGCGTGTGACACCAATCTTTTCTGTTAAAATTGAAAAAGAAAATTGACTACAATATGGAAGGCTTTATACTGCAGACTTCTTCCTGAGACTGCATGTGTTAAAAGCCTTTTTCTTCACAAAGTCCTCTCACGCTTCTGCTTTACATCCTCAAACTAATGGTTGGGTTTATGAGATAAAAATCTATGAATCATACCTGAGAAACATGGTCAGGATGTCGTGGTTCAAAATACACTGCTAGGGTTACAGAAACGTACAATGCACGTGCTTACACTTTATACAGGAAACAGTAAATGGAAATGCTGCCTATTCAAAATGTATAACCGTAGATTGTGACATTACTTCATTTTGGGGATGAGTACAAACATTCCCAAGACATTTATTCTGGTAAATCTTGACTAATGTACAATGAAATTTTTAATATAATTCAACATGATTATGAAATGCACTAAAATACCATCATAAAACCACAGCACATTGATAGAGATTCATCGAAGTGATTTTTATCGTAACATTGTAAATTCTGAGAATGAGACAGAATGTGGGTATATAAAGCAGAAGAGGTTTCAGAACTGCCATCTGCATGTTGAAAACATGAAGAACACATTTTTCTTCTACTTCCTCTATCAGCACAGAGGAGAGGTGTTGCAGGAATTTCTGCTGTAGGCCAAACAGAAATAATCATTCTACTGTGACAGTTTGAAAGATACCTTAATTACTGCTTATGGTTCCCAACTATTTTCCAATCTAGTCTTGCTTCAGGGGAGCAAAGAGTGTTGGCTTCTTCTTCTCTGAGTGAAATCTGACTTGTTTATATGTAGAGGCCAGTGTGTGTGTGTGTGTGTGTGTGTGTCCTCCCAGTGTGATTACTCCAGATCCAGAACCAAAACAAATTTTGATATGGGATTATTCTTTCTCCATTTATCAAAAACAAATAATATTGGAGAGGGGAAAAAAACAAAGGGAAAACACTTGCATATAGACGCTATACAATTGCACTTGTGCTCTTGTGCAGAGCTTCAATCTCTGCTTGTTCCGTCATGCGGCTGGGAGCAGAGATTTGAGTTTTTTTTTTCTTCTCCTGACATGAAAAACCCACAACGTGAGTACCTGGGCAAAATAAACTGAGGTCTGCTGCAGTAGGCGTAGCTTATGAAGGAGTTTTGCAACAGCTGTGGCACTACGAGGTAAAATTACTGGTTTGGAAAAGGCTCCTCTGGCTTTGAACAACATGTACCGTTTCATGTATCAATACTGATTACAGCAGCTGAGGTTACACACTTGATAGGAATAAAAAAAAACTCTGAAAATAAGTCACAAACAAAGCGTCCCTGTTGGAAACTCAGTCCTGGGAGAGCGAGTGCTTTCTCAGCAAACTGGTGACCCAACCACTCATAGTTCAAAATTACCTGTACGTGATGTACGGCTCATTTATTTCTGTATTATTCACTGTGGCTGAGTCATCTGTTCAGGTTTCTGAACTCCAAGATCTAAACATATGTCTTCCGGTTTTATTTCTGGAAGAACCGTCTAGATTTCCAGATCTCTCAGTTACAGGAAATTGTTAACCTACAGTGTCTCTCTGTAAACTCCCACATTTTAACTCTCCCTCACCCCTCAGTGCTGAGAAATGTAACTGAAGTAAAGAACGGAGCAGTGA